CAGCATTTTTAAAATCCTCATTCTGGCGTAGGTAGCTTCTCTTAATTCTCCTCCTTATGTCCGGGATTTTTATCAAAGGCGCTGACTTGCAAGAACTGATGTTCACGCACAGGTAGCGACATCTACAGCTGGCTCTGTGACAGCCGGCTGGGATAAAACCACGCTGGTTTTCTCCCGTTAAAAAGTGCGAGCGTTGGGGGAATGTGCACTTTCGAATGTGTGAAATCCGAGGCTTGGCACGTTGCCTGGCCTGAAGGAACACTCAGTCCACGCGAGGTTCCCTCTCACCATACCCTCGCCCCTTTCCCCTTGCAACCCAAGAAAAGTTGATGAGATGCGTTGGTTGCAAGCAACAGAAACCGGCTTGCAGTGATTTAAGAGTTTCCTTGGAAGGGTGGAGGTGCTAATGGAACTGAAAGAACGGCTGACCACCTGCTTCCAGCTTTTAGAGCAGGGGAAGCACTTCAAGAAAGAACCTGGAGCAATCTTCCCATTGGAGCAGGGCTGGGTGTGGATCCTGGAGGGGCACTGGGATTCGGCGGGGGAGGGGGGGTAGGAGGTGTCCGTCCGGCTGGTCGGGAGGCGTGCACTCACCATCTGTTGGGTGCCCACCACCTACTGGGCACTGTGCATACAGGACGTGTGGGGGGGAGGGGGCATCGCTCAGGAAGAGTGATGGCAGATACAGGCACAGGAGTAGAGGCCGGTTTCTGGAAGATCTTAGTGTATAAAAAGCCCCCAGTTTTTATAAACAGGATCCCGTCCAAAGCTCTAGAAGGTTTGTTTGGTTATCCCGGCCCTAGCTTTTCACGACCTGGGGGGCGGCCAGTTTAGTGGATGCACCGTGTGTCCTTGACTCTCCAGATGGTTCCCATCTTCAGACTCGACTGAGGAGCCCGGATGAGGGGTGTGTGGATGCCCACTCCCACCGAGGACGCTGAGAAAGCAAAGGCAAGAGCCTGGCGCCCGGGAAGGAGGGCTCCCTGGGCAGGAAGGTGCTGCACTGGGAGGCCCGGCGGGCAGCCAGCCGCTCGGTGGTATGAAACAGCCCAGAATTTCCGCGGGGAGAGCCAAGCGTGGAAGCAGCTCTTAAAGCGTCGCTTCCAACCGTCGGGGCGGCCAGGGAGCGCGGTGCCAAGTGCAAGACTGACAGAGTGACCCAGGGGAGCCTCGGAATCAACACTTGGCCCGGGGGGTCTGGCCGCAGGTCAGCAACAACACGGGCGGCAGTGATAGCAGGAAGGGAGCACGCGGGTTCCGGAGGGGAGAGTGGAAACCCACATCCGCCCGGCCGACCCCCTCCCTGGGAACAGCGCTACCTTTGTGCTCCTTCCAGAGCCACGCTGTGTGTCAGGGAGCGCAGGTACTCACCTCCTCCGTCCGTCCGGGAGAAACTGCTTTGCAAGGGAAAAGTGCTGTGATGGTGCAAAACCCCACCCCTGCCGGTCTGACTCGGTTGAGTGGCTCCTTCCAAAACTCGCGACAGGAAAACGTTCCTGCCCTCATGGCCTTACTCTGAAGGACGTACTAGTTCGGGTCTCTCCGGGGAAGGCGGGGGCAACCCGAAGCCGGGGGAGCCGGGGCCTCCCACAGGCATAGCGCGGAGCGTGTTGGTCCTGGGAAGCCCCACAGAGCAGGGGAACGGGGCGGGGGCTGCTTTATAAACCAGGCCCTCTAGAAGGTTCTTCTCTTTGGCCTCATAAAACCTCCTCCCCGACCAGTTCCCCTGCCTGATCCCCCCACTCTGTTCATTCAACTCAGTTTAACCCATATTAATTGAGCAACTACTAGGAGGCAGGCCCTGTTGGGGCTTTGGGGGGCTACATCAGTGAATGAAATAGAGAAACATCCCTGCTTTAACCGAGATCGCGTTCTAGGTGAGGGGGGCTTGGGGGACAATAAAATAAATAATAAGCACAATATACAGGTAATTTATACAGCCTGGCACAGGGATCCTGTGGGCATTATTAGAGTCTATAGATGGAAAAGCTCGAGAACCATGAGTTTTCACACCTAGCGCTCATCAGGCATCAGCTAATGTTATCAGAGGCAGCGAGTGGAAGGGCTGAGATCCGCTCTCAAACCGGATGCCCGGCTTCCGACCCCGCCTCTGCTGTGACCCCCTGCAGGGCCTGGGCAGAGTAGCTCACTTCTCTGGGCTGAGGTCTCCCCTCTGGGCAGTGGGGAGAATGGTAGTACTTAGGCTGGGGGCTGCCCCCCCCCGGGATTAACTGAGATGATAAAGCAAAGCCCTCAGCGTGGTTCAGCCACGGCTTCCTTGCCCTGTGCTTGTTGGCCGAGGTTGTTAACCCTCTTTTCTCCACACGCCCCTGCACCGGCTGCTGACTACTGAAACCAGAGCCTCCTTAAGGGCCAGCTGCGATGTCACCCCCTGTTTATAGCATAGAGTGTGCTGGGAAGCCCCACAGAGCAGAGGAATGGGGCAGGGGCTGCTTTATAAATCACGCCCTCTAGAAGGTTCTAGACTGCTTACTCTGCCCAAGGCACTGTGCCGCTTTGGTTTTAAACTCCTTATTTTGAAATAATTTCAAGCTCACAGTTGAAAGTTGCAGAATAATACAGGGGGGCCTCCATATACCCCTTAACCAGATTCATCATTTTTTAACGTTTTGCCACATGTGTTTTATCACCATCTTTTTTTTTTTTTTTTCCTGGATCGTCTCATAAAGACCGCAGACATCATGCTCCTTTGCCCTTTATACTTCTGTGTGTGATGCTTAAAAACGAGGACATTCTTTCGGGTAACCACAGCACAGTTCTCAAATTCTGGAATTTCACATTGAGAATAATACTTTAATCGAAAGTTCAAATTCCAGTTTTGTCCATTGTCCCAATTATGTCTCTCCCAGCATTTTTTCCTCTAGTTCAGCATCCCGTCCAGAATCATTACTGCATTAGTTGTCATGTGCGCTTGGGGACTTAGGATTCACTTCACAGCCATGGAGTTCTGTCCGTAACATTTAAAGGCCCCGGGCAGGAGCCCTAGAGGAGACACACGAGCCATAGGTCTAAATATCTAAAGGATATTTTTGTTCAAAATAACATTCACTAAAATACGTTCTCTCCCCCTGCTTTGACAGATAGGCTCTCGTAACCACTGGGAGATCCATTTTCCAGCGTAGAATTCCTGAAGTCCCTGGGGTTCTCTGTGCCGGAATCCATGACTTGGGAAGAATGGCCCCCTCTCTCGGACCTGTAGCCTGCCCACTTTCTCTTGCCATCCGGACTCTGTCCACATCACTAGGAACTTTGTTTGCACACAAGTGGACACCCCACTCTGCCCTTCCGAGTTTCACCTGTGCCCACAAATGGCTGCCCTTTGGACCACCGCTTGGACTCAGGGGCATGCACACGAGTGACGTGACAGGGAAGAGGCCTCCTCAGGTCCACGTGGACCAAGAATTCTGGCCTTGGTTACCGTTGGCATTGGCCATCCGTGGCACGATTTGAAAGAGGAGAGGAGGCATGGGCTCCAGGTGAATATGTCCCTGGGGCCCCACAGATTCCTTATTCTGTGGAGATGGGTGACTTGCAGGACAGTCAGAACAGGGTCCTGAAATCGAACAGAGGTCCCTCTGTGTAGGTCAGGGGGTGGTGTCGAAAACATGGTCTCCATGTTCAAGAGCTTGGAGTCTAACAAAGAAGATGCACAGATAATCATAATCCTATGAAGTCAGTGCTCAGGGAGAGGTGAGCCCACACCATTACTACCCTCTCAGAGCCCTCTTCTTCCTCTAACCTGGCAATCCTTTATTTGCCCCTGTCATGGTAGCAGCTCGGTCATCTGTGTAGGCACCGTTACCCTCCTTGACTTGCCTTGGTGGTAAGAACTGGACTTTTTGGCTCTGCATTTCTTTCTTTTAAAAAAAATTTTCTTAAATGTTTATTCATTTTTGGGAGAGAGAGACAGAACGTGAGCGGGGGAGGGACAGAGGGATACAGAGACACAGAATCGGAAGCAGGCTCCAGGCTCTGAGCTGTCAGCACAGAGCCCGACATGGGGCTCGAACTCACAAGCCATGAGATCATGACCTGAACGGAAGTCGGACGCTCAACCGACAGAGCCACCCAGGTGCCCCTGGCTCTGCATTTCTTAGCGCTCAGTATAGTGTGTGTACCAGCATAGGCCTCCAGAAGACAAGGACTGGATGAATGAACAAAGGCACAGCTGATAAATGGATGGATAGTGGGTGGGAAGATGGATGAATGGACTGCTTTATGGAGAGATGGATGATTAGATGGGCGGCTGGGTGAATGGATGGATGTTTGGATGGGTGAATGGGTCGTGGATGGACAGGCATGTGATTGGACGGGTGTAAGTACCTGTGGCTAGATGGATGGATAGATGAGTGAACAGATGTTTAGATGGGTGGATGATGGATGAATGGTCAATTTCTGATCTTTCTTGAATGGCAGATCAAGGGAAGGGCAGTGACCAGAACCATCAGTCCTGTAAAGGTCCCAGAGGTGGTTATGTGACTGGCCAAAGTCACCAGAGGGTGTCAGCAGCAGAGCTGAAAAGACAACCTGAAGTTCTTGACTTCTGGAATCACCACTTCTGCCATGGAATGGAGCACCTTCCAACCTACAAGCATCGTCCAGCCTGACTCTCCCCCCAGACTCGCACAGAAGTCGAAGCACTCCATACTGCCACAAAACTGGGTCATCGACAATTAATCTCTCCAAGTTTCCATGTGAAATCTCCTGCTACATGCCTAAGAATTTTTAAAATTCTTTTAAAAATATATATTTCTCATTAGCCCTTCCTGCTGCCTCAGCTTTCAGCAAAAACTTAGAGCATAAAAGCCAATTTACCACATGCTCCCAAACGATTCACGGGTTTGAAACAGCAACAAAGACTAGGACTGGCCACATGCAGGAAAAAAAGAAAAGAGAGAGAGACGACAAAGAAGATTAATTGCCTTTGGAAATAGAAGATAATCATTGGGAGCACAGTGATAGTCTGTGCCAGTGGGAAAGCATTTTCAGAAATACCATATTAGTGTCACAGAGAGCTGGGCTCAAGCTCCCACTGTGACCTCAAAGGGCCAAGTCATGTGGCTGGTAACGGGATGGGTGGGGGGGAAGGGGGAAGGCCTAATGATAGTCCTGTCCTTGCTAGCTCTGCCCATTTTGGCGTCAGAATGTCCCCTCCAGGGGTTGCCCCTGGAGGGGTTGACAAATGGCCAGGTGACTCTCACCTGGAGAACTGTTCAGCTTTTGGGGCTTCTTAAGGGCTGGGGAGGACCCTGAGGCAGGGTGGAGGGTGGTGGGCAGCAGTCAGCGGCTGCAGCATCTGACCCCAGGAGAGAACAAGAGAAAGAGAAGCAGAGCAAGTGGGAGAGAACTCACTCCGCGCGCTCTCCTGGACTTCTTCCAGACCCCCAGGTGCCCCCACCTTCCCCCTCTCCCCCCCGTCCCTCCCACTGGCACGAGCAGCCAGCTCCCAAGGAGCCACCGGGACAGGAAGCAGCGGCAGGTCCACAGCTGGGTGCTGGGAAGCTGGCGCACGGGAGGCTGAGGATGGGAGGAAATTTGTTTTGGGTGTGGCACCCAGATGGTGGGGGTGCGGGGGGAGAGGAGCGGGGCGAGATAAGAAGACACAGCGATTTAACCAGAAAGAGGGGGGTTGCTCAGGGCCGGGAGTGTTAGATCCCTCTCATTACAGCCGCAGAAACAGCTTTCCTTCTGCCAGCTCTCCACGGCACATGGAGCATCATGATTCACTCGGCCCACAGTCTAATAACCACCTGTCCACGATGGCAGCCGCCAGCCACACGTGGCTATGAAGCACGTGAAAAGTGGCCCATCCCAACTGAGACGACCCAGAAGCGTGAAATACACTCAAAGAGCTAGTATGAAAAAAAAAAAAATGTACAGTATCCCATTAATGAACTTTATATTGATTACGTATTGAAACAATACTATGTGCATACACAGTTTAAACAAAAGAAATAAACGTTGATTTTGCTGTTTGGGGGCACCTGGGTGGCTCAGTTGGTTGAGCGTCTGACTCCTGGTTTTGGCTCAGGTCACGATCCTGGGACTGAGCCCCGTATCAGGCTCCACACTGAGCGCTGAGGGTGCAGCCTGCTTGAGCTTCTCTCTCAATCCGTCTGCCTCCCTCCCTTGCTTGTGCTTGCTCTCTCTCTCTCTCTAAGTAAAAACAGAAATTCACTGTTTCCTTTTACTTTCTTGAATGTGGTGACGAAAATATTGGAAATTACAGATGTGGCTCATATTCGTGGCTCACATTGTATCTTCACTGATCAGCGCTGGTCTGTGGCCTTATTTACTAAGTCTGCCTCCAATAATTCCATCGAATTCAATCAATACTTGAGGTGAAGGATACTACCCAGGGTATAAAGATGTTCTCAAAGCATTGCTGCATATCAGAATCACTCGCTGAGCTCTTAAAACTGCCCCCACTTGGCTGTACACAGACTAACGATGTCAGAATCTCTAGGCATGCGACCCTAGACCTTAGTGTTCTTTTAAAGCCCTCCACAGGGTTCCAACATGCGGTCAGATTGAGAACCAGAGCTTTAACATATGGGGCTCAATATTAAGTGAAACAGAAGGATCTGAAATACTACTGTGTAAAGCAGCCTGGGATAATTAGTCAACGTGGGAGATTCCAGAGCCATGGAGGAGAGGAGAGGAAGGTGCAGCTCCTTTTGGGAATCAGGGTGAAGGGGGATTTGGATAAGGCCTTGAGTTGGGGGCTTCCGGGTTGCAATGGGCTGAGGGTGCAGGTGAATTGCCAGGCAAAGAGGATGCCATGGACAAATCCCCGGACGAGGGAAGATCCCAGGGTGGGAAGGTGGCTGGGAGGCCAGAGAGTTTCTGGATCCTGTGGAGCTCCAGGAAGAGGTGATTCTCCTCGAGAGATCAAGGTGGGCAAGGTAGCGGGCCAGAACCTACAGGTCATTGAAACCCAAGATTCAGGACCGAGGAAGCCTAGAACGGCTGAGTGAAGGAGTTGGGCACTCGGCTGGTGATTTGGAGGGTGACAGATTTGGTGGGGGGAGGAGGGAGGAGGGACAAGAGAGGCAGAGCCACGTGGCTTGGCTCTAAACTAAATGATCACCCTTCCAGGGGGGCCATGCCCTAGTCCAGTTCTGAGTAGGCTCACAGCAAGTGTTGGAATAAAGCAAATAGTCCAGAGTTTCAAAGAAACTGCCAGTAGTCTGCTCCCACCTGGTTGCTAGAAAGAGCAGGGAAAGGTAAGAGTATTACCTTCAGTTTGCCCAAAGTTTCCGGTTTTGCCCTCCATGAAGCAACCCTTCAAGGCACTGGTGTTTGCCCACAGTGATCCGCGGGGACAAGCTAAGGGCCCGTTGTGGTTCTCAAGAGCAGGCCTCACGTTGGCACCTGTGCCCTCCGGGCCATGGTCCCCGCTTGCTGCTGGAGAAACCCTGCAGGAGCAGGTGTATTTCCAAAGACATGACTCCTTGTCCCCACGGGCGGCTAACCTGGGCCAGCTCACCCCACCCTCGCCCTCAATTCTGTGTGTCCTTGCTTACCAACCTGCAACAACATCTCATCCTGCCCAAAAATAGCCCCTTCACCCATGCACACATTTTTTTTTTTTTTAAAGTTTATTGATTTATTTTGAGAGAGAGACGGCGGGTGGGGGAGCGGGGCGCAGAGAGAGAGAGAGAGAGAGAGAGAGAGAGAGAGAGAGAGAGGATCCTGACGCGGGGCTCGAACTCACGAACCATGAGATCACGGCCCGAGCCTCAACCGAGAGTCGGACACTTAACTGCCTGAGCCCCCCCCAGCGCCCCAACCCACGTGCAACTTCTAAGGCAGTAAATCATGAACTGCTGCTTTGAGTTGTCGAAACGTTTAGAATCACGTCTTCCAGGAAAAGACATCAGTGGGTGTCTGAAGGCTGTTGTCCGTCTACCTCAGGGCAAGTGACGCCCACTGCAAAATATTCAATGGGCTGCTCGGGCTGCCTCGGTGACCCGCAGGCTGACAGTTCTGGGCCAGCCCGGACAAGTTAATGCCATATACCGGGGTCAAGGGGATCTTTAAGGAAAGCTTGTTCTTGTAACCCGTGGGACGGGTTCAAGGAAATATCGGTTAATTGCGACTCCTTTGCTAAAACAGCCACTCCCCTTTGCAGCGGGCTTTCCGCCAAGGAGGCATTTATCGTACTTGAGTGGCAGAACTCCCCTGGGAACACCTGGTTTTCTTTCAGAAGGAAGCTCAGTCTTTCCCTCTGAAGCTGGCCCCTCTGCCAAGCTGACGGTAATCTGCTTTCCGGGGCCTCCGCTGTCGGAGCAGAGACCAGCTCGGGGAACGAAGTCCCAGGGCCCGCTCACAGGACGAGGCCTGAAGAATACAGACCCGCTGCTGAGGATGCGAAGACCACCTTGCTCTCTGATCTCAGCAAGTCAGGCCCTGGGCTTTCCTTTCTGCTTGTCTATTCTATTAATGCATCAGTTGCTACAGCAGATAATAGTGCTCAGGGCTGCCGGAGGAATTGAACTTTAACCCACCAAACCGTGGATGAGAGTAAAGCACGCAGTGGGGGAGACGGGAACGGTCAGCTAGGACGTAGACAGGGTGGCCTACATCCGGCCTGTCCGTGTTCCACCCACCCCAGAAGCCTGGGAGTGGGAGGAGCCAGCCAGGTTGTCCCAGCGCATGAGACACGACCTGAAAAATGACCAAATACACAGGTTCCTATGGCACTTGCCACGGGGACGGAATTGAAATGCAGACAGAGTACAATTTAGTGGATTTTCCTCGAAGAGATTTTCGCCTACGGCTAATTCCGACTCTTACTTTACAGACAGGAAGGCAGCTCGGAGAGTTTTAAGTGGTTAACTGAATCCGCACAATACAAACAGGCCCCAGGCCATCCAAATTTGCACCTATTTGCAAGCGGACGCGGGGTGCAAAATTGTTGCCGCAGTTGCAGCTTGCTCACGGAGTCTTCTTCCTGCTCGACCGGTTCAGCCTATATCTCCGGAGCATCAGGCATGCTCACTGCTGCGGGGTACAGTATCCGGCAGACAGTAGTTGCTCGATAAACGTTTTTGAAAACATGACAGAGAAGACAGAAGCGTTCTTCTTAAGGGACCCGCAGACCAGTGTGGACGGGGCTACAAACAAACCGTGGCAGTGCGGCGTGCAGGGTGCCGGAGCGCGTGGTGGCAGCTTGGCCTCCAAAGGAAGGCAGCGCAGGCTGTCCGGGAGAGGTGGCGGGACGTGGGTGTTGGAGGGGAGTTTGTTGGGTTTGCCCAGATGACAAGGGGGCAGGGCATTCCGCGAAAGGAGAGCCCACCGGGTTCGTTCAAGGAAAAGCAGCTGATTCCAGCCTGTGAGTATGGTGCCACCGTCACCGTCCTAGGGACCTAGCAGGTGGGCATGCGCTGTCGTGCAGCTCAGCACCAGACTTGTGAACAGTCAGTGTTGCACCCGAGCTGATGAGGCTGGTTACACACCCGGTGACTGACACCAGGGAAAAATAACGAGCACCGCCTTTCTAAAGACCAGCTCTGATCCCAGCTGGCCTCAGTCTGCAGACTTGACGGGCTCCCTGCTGCCCAGGAAAATCCCCCCACCTGCCGTGTGAGACCTTATTAACCTGGCCCAGGCTGCCTTTCTGCCCTCACCTCAGGCCCCCTGCCTGGTCCTCTCTGACTCGGCCACATGGCCAGGTTGTGCACACTAACTCTGGCCAGTTACCCCACCTGCACAGTGTCCCTGCTTCGGGTCCACTCAGCTAGTCATTCTTCGAGAACCATGTGAATCTACTCTCTGGATCTTTCTTCAGTGCTCTACACCAGTGGTTCTCTATTCCGATTGGTCAGTAGGCTGCCTCCGGGCCCTTTAAAACATCGCCAGATCTGACTGGCCCCAGACCATTGAATCAGACTCTCTGGGTGGGGCCTGGGTCTCACAGTTCCGGAGGCTTGAAGTCTAAGACCAACGTGTCAGTTGGATTGGTTCCTTCTGAGGCCTCACTCTTGGCACAGAGATGGTGTCTTCTCCCTGTGCCTTTCTGTCATCTTCCCTCTGTGCCGAGCTCTTGGCCCAAATATCCCCCTTGATAAGGACACAAGTCATATTGGACTAGGACCTACCCTAATGACTTCGTTTTAATTCAATTACCTTTCTAAAGGCCCTGACTCCGAGCCAGGTCACATTCTGAGCTGCTGGGAGTTAGAACAGACAGCATATGAATTTTATGGATTGAGTTATGGAACACAGCTCAGCCCCATCAGGGACTGTAGTCACTTCTCAGGTGCTGCCAGCCTATAGCCAGGCTCAGGACCTTGTTCTAAGCTGACGGGGCGGCCAGCACCTGCTAATGCTCCTGATAACACACTGGGGCGTCAGGAATTCTGTTCCGCTCTGAGGAACAGCATTCTGAGCACTGTGGTTTAAACAAATTAAGAGTTCCTTTTTCCTGTGTTAAGGAAGCACAGAAGGGGCGCCTGGGTGGCCCTGTCGGTGAAGCGTCTGACTCTTAACTTCGGCTCAGGTCACGATCTCACAGTTCGCGAGTTCAACCCCTGCATCAGGCTCTGCATGACACTAACAGCATAGAGCCTGCTTCCGATTCTCTCTCCCTCTCCTTCCGTCTCTCTCTGCCCTTCCCCCTGCTGCCACGTGCTACCTCTCTTACTCTCTCAAAATAAATGAACTTAAAAAAGCACAGCACAGATAGGAGTCCTGGCAGAGGTCCAGTTAAACTTTCAGACCCCTCCCAGGTTATATTTTGTATTCTTTGTCTCAAAAAAGGCCCCCCTCAACTGGAGAAGCCTCAGGCCTCACAAAAGCCGGCTCTGTCCCACAGAACGACTCCAGGGTGGGGAAGGCGTCCTCACAGAGTCCCCAGGGACCCCGGCTCCTTCCAGTTCGTCTTTGG